GCCGCCACGTCGCTCTGGCTCTCCCTTCCCAGAGACACCCACGGTTCCACCTAACTTCTATCGTTTCTCCTCCTTTCAATCCCAGCTCCGGTTTCTCTCTCTCACTTTTCTCCCTTCCTCCCGCCCGACCCGCGCCATCTTTTCAACTCTATGCTATCCTCTCTCTCGTTCTATTCTTCCCGTGCTCGAGCTGTATTTCTCTTTCTACGTGTGTGACCGAAGGCGACCGACCGAGCACGGCCAACTCAAGGCACGACTACACTCAGCGTTGCTGGCTGGCGCAAAAAATATTCCGCGTGCATTCACGCACACGTGCTCGCGCGTGTTGCAGTACTGCCGTGCCTACCACTGTTTTGCGGTCGAGCGAAATGACGTTCGGTCTCGCAACGCCGAACTTCTACCGTTCTTTTACGCGCTTTTTACCTCTTTTTGAAGAACCTGCCCCGCTTTATTGTACAAAGTTCTCTAAAGTTCTGCGACGCAATCGTGTAATATATTACACACGTGCGAACATCCTCGAAACGGACTTGGTCTAACTCGACACGGGAAATTATATTCTCTCTCTTTTTTTCCTCTGAACTTCGTCGCTCGATTCTGCGCAGCTACACGTACCGGTATACGTTCCATTGTACATTTTTTTACGGTGTCTTTGCTCTACACGCATCGAGAGAAAAACCAACTCGGCCGAGACAAGCTGCTGTGCGTTCCCTCTGTCTACGCACGCAACCATGAACGCATGCATGAACGCATCTCGTTTACATTTACGCGTCGCATTTCCGCCTTCCTCCTACGTCGCTCCTCGATGGTATGCGCGGATTACGTAAAGCGAAATTATTTTCCACGGACGATGCTTTAAAGATCTATCGTTGAGTGTATCGTGCGCGTTTGACTCCGAGACGGCCGAGGCGCGATTTTATCAAGAGAAGAACGGAGAAACGTGGGAGTTACGAAGATATGTAGACACCGGCACGTAATCGTGCGACCCAATCTACTCGAACGCTTCCATATCGAATCAAGGAAAGCAAAATGTAACAATGCTTCTTCTCTCGTCGTTAATTACGTCGTTTGTTTCGAAATTCCGAAATTCGCCGTCTACAAATATTTCCCATTCCATTGCTCTCCAATACCCCAGTTAACCATAATGTCACCAACGAGCTAGGTCAACTTGTAAAGATAAGATGCGTTCCCTTATCGGAAGCGAACCAACGGCAAACTTATTTACATTCTCGTTTCGAACGGTATCTATCTATCTTCCAGTGGTGTTGCGAGCCAGTTCGCGCCTATCCTACCCGCTATCCCGTGTGTAAAAAATGCTGTAACCCGGTATCAAGCGGTTTCTTAATGGCGCGAGTTTTTACGCCTCGCACTTGCGAAAGAATGTTTTCTTATCCAAGACCGGTGTACTCCGATCCGGCAATTTATCATTACGCACCGGTACACGGCTTGTTACGTTCTGGATGCAATTTGCGTCATCTTGGAAAATAAATGCTAGACTCGATAGATCGCGAACGTCGTTTGACGCACACCTATCGACATATTGGCATAATTATTATATATATATATTTGTATGACTAATGCTTCCTAGCAATTTAGTCACTACTCGACCACAAACAAACTTTCGAGATAACCAACCAACTTTTATTTATCACGCTAGATATCGTTTATTAATAATGTATCTACTGTTACGTGAGAAAAGAAAGAAAGAAAAAAAAAAAAAAAACGAAATGGTACGTACGAGACAAATCGAGCGAAAGTTATATATCTAAAATTGTTCGACCTCCGTACACGCTTACTGCAACCGAGCCGCCTCATGTTTCTTCCATCCGAGACCGTGTATCACGCATGAATAAATAGATCACGATGAATTTCAAATGGGAAGCGAGCAAAATCCTGTTCTATGCCGCGTCATCAACTGTTCTCGATGATCGGCGAGTAAATAATCTGATAAGTAATTAAGCGTTCGTTCGAGCATGAAAATTTCATGTAAATCGCCTGCTTAACTTCGAACCGCACTATTTCCATCGAAGGTCATGCGATCGAAGCCACATATTAATTAACGAAGTCTCGAGTGAGTGGAAACACGTTACATGGAATGATTAATTCGAGAATTAATCGCGAGTTAACGACAGCGAGGATATATATATATATA